GGAGTGTCACGCAAAGGCAACGCAAAGAAAAAAAATGCAACGTGAGAAGAAAAAAAAAAACAGACACTGACAGACATTGTACTATAGAAGGTTCGCCAGAAAACGGTATGTATTGCAGAACACATGTTGTGTCCAATCTTGAACACTGTGGTAGTCATTGCGATATTAGGCTGAAAAAATAAACTTAGCACGACCGCAAGACAAACCATATTTCACTTCGTCTGTTATGCTCGCTACCATAAAACTTTGTCTTTCAAGTATGATCGTCTCTCTCTCTCTCTCTCTCTCTCTCTCTCTCTCTCTCTCTCTCTCTCTCTCTCACACACACACACACACAGATAAGAGAAAATAATGTATTTGGCTCTCTTACTCTACGACAACCAATGCAAACACAATAAACAAATCGCCTTGTATAGTGTGTCGTGATGCCTGTATGAAGATGAGACTCGTTGTGTGTGTACAAAGAAGACTCGAGTGATCTTGTTGGTGAAGTCCTCGGTTTCAGGTGAGTTGTTTCTTGCCCTTCACCCTTTTATGGTCTAAATAAATAAATGCATGTACATATTTGTGCAAGTGTGCCACTTTGGTGCCAGATGGATGTGTGGGCACTTGGTGCTGAACCACATAAACATGGCGAACCTTGCATTTTCTATTATATCTTAGTTATCTTAACCTGCAAAATTATTCGTGATTATTTTGTCTTATTTGTGGAGGAAATGAGAGAGACAATATGACAGTCGTGATCAACAACACACTGACAAACACAGACAGGCACAGAGACAGACAGATACACATGCACAGACATGTACAATTATGCTATGCCATGCACGCTTCAGGTTCACTACTGCGTGCCAAACGCAGAATACACGCCCGTTGCGAGTTGAAATAGCACGCAGTAGCTAACTTGCACACAAACACACACAAACGTACATAAACACACAGACACACATAGACACATACGCACCTCCACATAGCCACATAGACAGATACACAGACACACAAACACACAAACAACCACATACACAAACACACAAAAAAACACATACACAAACATAGCCACATAGGCGTATACACAGATAGACGGCCACATACTTACAGAAAGGTTGGCTACTGCGTGTCAAACACAGACCATACATGTCCGTTGCGAGTTGAAATAGCACGAAGTAGCTAACTTGCACACAAACACACACAAACGCACACAGACACATAAAGACACACATAGACACACAAACACACCTCCACATAGACAGACACACATATACACAAACAGCTACATACACAAACACAGCCACATAGCCACATACACAGACAAACCACATACTTACAGAAAGCAGACACAAACGCACAAACGACCACATACTTACAGAAAGCAGACACATACACACCCAAACAGACATAGACATACAGCAATACATCCACATACAAACACACATAGACACACATAGACACACAGACAACACCACACACCCACATACACAGCCACACAGCCACATACTTACAGAAAGCCGACATGGACACACAAACGACCACACACTTACAGAAAGCAGACACAGACACACATAGACACAAAGCAACATAGCCACATACAGACACACATAGACACAAATAGACATACATAAACACACATATACACAAATAGACATACATAAACACACATAGACACACAGACAACGCCACACAGCCACATACTTACAGAAAGCAGACATAGACAAACAAACGGTCACACACATACAGAAAACAGGCACATATACACATAGACGAACAACAACACAGCCACATACAACCATACATACACACACATAGACACACAGACAACGCCATACAGCCACATACACATCCACACAGCCACATACTTACAGAAAGCAGACATAGACACACAAACGACCACACACTTATAGAAAGCAGACACAGACACACACAGACACACATAGACACACAACAACACAGCCACGTACAGACAAACATAGACACAGACACAACTCCACATAGCCACATACACATACACACAAACGCAGACACACAAACAGCGACATACACAGCCGCATAGCCACATACACAGACAGATAACTATATACTTACAGAAAGCAAACACAGACACACAAACAGCCATATACTTACAGAAAGCAGACAAAGGCACACATAGACACACAACAACACAGCTACATACATACACACATAGACACAAATAGACATCCATAAACACACATAGACACACAGACAACGCCACACAGCCACATACTTACAGAAAACAAACATAGACACACAAACGGACACACATTTACAGAAAGCAGACAAAGACACACATCGATACACATCAATACAACCACATACTGACACACATACACACATATAGACACACAGACAACGCCACACAACCACATACCCAGCCACACAGCCACATAGACGCACATAAACACACAGCAACACAACCACACATAGACACACATAGACAAACAAACAACAGCACACAACCACATACACAGCCACACTTCAAGTTGACTACTATGTGTCAAACACAGACCATACACGTCCGTTGCGAGTTGAAATAGCACCCAATAGCTAACTTGCACACAAACACACACAGACGCACATAGTCACACACAAACACACATGGACACACACTAGAAACACCTCCACATAGTCACATAGACAGACACACAGGCACACAAACAGCCACATACACAAACACACAGCCACATAGCCACATACACAGACAGACACATACTTACAAAAAGCAGACACAGACACACAAACGGCCACATACTTACAGAAAGTAAACAAAGACACACATAGACACACAGCAACACAACCACATACAGACACACATAGACACAAATAGACATCCATAAACACAGAGACAATGCCACACATCCACATACACAGCCATACAGCCACATACTTACAGAAAGCAGACATAGACACACAAACGGCCACACACTTACAGAAGGCAGACACAGACACACACATACACACATAGACACACAGCAACACAGCCACATACAGACACACATAGACACACAGACAACACCACACAGCCACATACTTACAGAAAGCAGACAAAGACACACATAGACACACAGCACCACAGCCACACATAAACACACATAGACACACAGCAACACATCCACATACAGACACACAGAGACACGCATAGACACACAGGTACCGCCACACAACCACACAACCACATACTTACCGAAAGTAGACACAGACACACATAGACACACAGCAACACAGCCACACATAGACACACATAGACACACAAACAAAGCCACACAACCACATACACAGCCACACATCCACAAACACATTCACGCTTCAAGTTGACTATTGTGTGTGAAACACAGACCATACACGTCCGTTGTGAGTTGAAATAGCACGTGGTAGCTAACTTGCACAGA